GATTTAATAATATAATTTTTTATAAAGATTATAGTTAAATATTATGTTAGAACTATCTTAATTATATTTTATATTTAAAATAAAATATTTATCCTTTATTTGATTATATTTATCTGTAATTAGTTACACGAATTCAAATATTGAGTTTTAATAAGTTTTACTTACGTATAATTAACTTGTAATCTTGAATTTTAAATAATATACATAAATAAACAATATTTTATATATAAAAAATGATTTTTAAAAGAATTTTTATAGATTAATATATTAAAGATGAGAAAGAGGGAGTTGTATAGTATTTAAATTTGCAGGTGAAATGAATTTAATAAGGGAATTAAATTAATATAACATGAGTACCAAAATTATTTTACACGGACAAGTGTCACGTTTTTTGTCCACGCCACAAAACTTGTGCCCTATAAATTAATTTATGACAACAACGTTACGGTTGAAATCTAAATAGATTAGATTTATTTTAGTCTTTTATTTTATTGAATGTCAACTAAAAATAATATCGTAAAATTAAATTTAGTATATATGTTTATTAATTGGATGATAATTAGATTGGATCGGTTTTATTTTATTGGAGTTTAGACGTTATCCATGAACCAATTTGAATATTGAAATTTTAGATCTGACCCGATCAAATTATAACCAATCGACATAATAATTTTTTGAAATCATTTTAAATGACTACACGTGGAAAAATCCAAAGCATTAAAAAGTCAACAAAATGTTGTCTTATCTCTTTACAATCACATCAGCAAACCCCATAAAACACGTCAATTTTCTTGTTTTTGTCATTTCTTCGGTAATATCTATATTTTTGTTTTTTATAATTTTTCTATAAAGTAATTCGATGTCATAAATTTTGCTTTTTTATAAAATTAATACGTTTGGTTTACAGTATTTGATAGGATTTGAAATTGAATTTAATTTTAATCTTATATTGGGTTCAAAGAAAAATTCAAGATTAAAATCTTTTAGAAGTCTAATGTAGTAGTTGATATTTAATGAGATTTCATATAATTTATTTTTAATAACGTTTTAAAATATGTTTAAAAAATCCATTTTATAATAATCAATTAATAAAATATATGTAAATTATTTTTATGACTATAATTTATTTTATAAATTATCTATAAAAAATAGAATTTAATTTCGTTCTAAATCATATAAATCAAACACAAAAATATTTTAAATCCTTGTAATTTTGAAGTGTTTGTATGTTTAAAAAAAATGTTTTAAAAAGATGACATTGGGCCATCAAGGCTTATGTCACAAGTTGTGTAGGAGCCCATACATAATGGGCCATCTTTTGAGCTTTAAGCTAGTTGGTTTTTTCCTTTCTTTCTAAACATGGTGAGCCATGAGATGAGCTTGAGTTCGATTCGGGTTACATGATCAAAAGTGTTAAATTTTGATGTTGTACAACTCCTGTATCGGCCGATTGGGCATGCAACCGAGGATGGTCTTGAGAAGATGGAATGCCACCTGACCTATCGAGTTGTAATTCGTATGGGGGTTAGGGCCTTCACAGAAAAACATGCTATCCAGAGTCACCATGTTATGTTTGGTCATTGGAAAAAGGTCGTGAGGATAAATATCTTTGAACTCTTGGTACATATTCGACAAAAAACCACTTTGGAGCATGCGATGTGGGTCGTAACCGTATTGCCTCGTGATAACATTATTTTGGGAACTGGGTGATCTAGTTTTGCATACATAAATCAACCAATCGAGGACTAGGATTGGACATCGGTGAGGAGAGTTGAGGTGAGAAAAGTAAGAAGAGATCTTCACCCTTGGATGCACGTTAGAATGATATGCACCAAGATGCAATAGATCAATCCCTATATCAAAATGATTCATGGGTAGGTTTATGATTAAAGGTGATCAATGGTCCAGATACCTTCTTATGTTTCTCACAGTAACTCTCTTTCTCACACGATCTTTCGTTTAAATGACTGTTTTTAAATTAAAAATAGGATGTTAGATGGAATTTCACCTTAGAAGAAGATAATAACTCCCATTTAGTTAAGAAGACTGGTTTCTCTTTCTCTATGGATATACACTATTACACCGACAATCAGTCTTGTTTTATGTGTCATTGCTATATGTTTATGTGTTAATTTTATGGTTTGATTACTCTTGGCGAATTGTCAAATACATATTTGTTGATGCATGTTTCTACATTGTTGTATCAGTTTGTTAATAATTCAGATTCCGACCATTTGTTTGGAACCTTTCAGCATCATTGGTTGCTATCTGTAGCGAACATTTAATCTACACACAACCCATTCAACTTCACAATTTGATCTATGGCCCACAAGTCAAGAGATTATTCTCACTTTTAAAAATGGGACCAAGTCAAGTAGGACCGTTTGTATGGATGACATAATGTATGGAAAAAAAGCATTTCTGTAAAACTGAAATCACATACAAATTGAACAGAAAGTTAAAACGAACAAACATGTTCGTACATTTTTTTCACAGAAACATTCAAGTTAGAATGAAGGAAACTCGATGGAGGAGCCACAACTTCCATTTGGAAAGACCGGACATTCAATGAAGCCCGAAGCCGAGGAGTCCACACATAGGTAGATTTGGTACAACTGACTGTTACCCGATGAGTCATTATTGCACTGGATCCCTGGAGTATAACCGCTTGCTCCTTTAATCGCACCTTTTATGCTACTAAGACTATACTTTTGTCCATTTGGTTGAATCCCTGCATCATTGTTTTGTAGCAAACATAACAATATAAGTTTTGGACCACGAAAATGTTTGTTTTACTTGTGAATGATTCATACCTGCGCCTTGTAGAGCTTGAAGAAGATCGATCTCATTCTTGAGGCTAAGAGTAGTCGCGAAATAATCATGTTGATTGAGTACAGATTCTGAGCAAGTTCCATGCTTATCCCACTCGTGACCCCAAAATGTTATCCCAGTGTTGCTTGGGCACGACAGTGTTGGCCAATCCGACTGCATTTTGCTCGTAAGGTCTGAAATCTGTAAAATTTTATCGTAAACCAAGAATAAAAAATTAATACAATTCTCCATTCAAAAAGGTCCAAAATTTATGTTTAAACAAAACAAATATTACAATCATATCCGTGGATAAATTACCAAACATGTCAAATTGTTCCAAAAAAATTTTTTTGTCATTTTAATTATTTTGGCGAAAATTTTCTATCGATACATTTTATTATAAAAATATTCAAAATATATAAAAACTTATTAGAAGTAAATTGATCATTTTTACTATTATATCATATTCTGTCATATCCTATCCTATCATATTCTTGTCTGGATACTAAAATGTAGCCTAAATACTTTATAAGATAATATATTTATGATGCACATTAACATTTAAAGACATTGTAAAGAATCATAGGAAATGGTTAAAAGAATCACCTTGGATGCATCGAAAGGATTGCTAGAGTCACAATTGGAAGGATACGAGCCATCGTTTCTGTTAGGCCAAAGTCCATGGATTCCAAAATCTGATGCCGGCTTTCCGCTACTCGGATAGCAACAACCTTGTTTCGTATCACAGTACGATCCCGGCCACTACAAAACACGTTCAAATCAATCAATTAATTAATGCGTTTATCGTGTTAATTCATCGTGTGTGTATGATCGTAAATAGAATCTGATATCGGCCACTAAATATTATATATATATATATATATATATATATATATATGAATGTATATTAGATGGAATTGAAATGGAATGATTAAAACCTGTTGAACGAAGTAGAAGAAATCGAAATCTTGTGAAGCAGAAAGTACAAGTAGGCAATGTAGGGTGATGAACAGCAAAGGATTATTGGATTGCATCTTCATGATCATGTTTGTTTGTGTGTGTGTGTTGTTGATGGTGTGTCACTATGTGTTTATTTATAGGGTGAGATGTGTGTATGAAAAGGTATGAACTCAAATTTGGAGGATTCTGGTGTGTTTTTATTTATTTATTGGAGAGAGAAGAGATTGAGATAGTTAATGCGCAATTTATTGGCATTAATGCATTTATTTCTCTTACGAACAATGAACAAATTTTCCTAATTATCCTAAAATAAAGAATTTTTTTTTCTATTTTTTAATTCAAATAGATTTTTTATAATATTATTAAAAAACAACTTTAAGTTCAAAAAATTCCCTAAAATAAAATGATTTTTTTATTCATTCCCATCAATAAATTTGTCTTTTTTCCAACCGAGTAACAAGAACTGAACTTTTTTCGGTTACGGTTGTTCTCATTATAGACTAATTTCCAACTGGATTTGTTTGCTATGCGTCATTTTTTTTCTTTTCAAATAACGCATACATAGATTGGAGAACCGTAACACACAACCAATACAAATCAATCAAATCCCGTTCGTTCACATGTGTGGTTAATTATCATAACATAATTGAGGTTTTATTTATCCAACTAATTATGAGTTTGAGGCCTCTGATATGTAGCTCAGTTGACAAAATAATTATGCAACTTTATCCAAATACAAGATAGGTCACAGGTTCGATCCCCCTTAGCCTCAACCGTTAAGTGAGCCAAAAAATGTCCATTCACATTTGTAGTGTTCTTGTAAACAGGTTTCGTACAGACCGATTGAGATTGTCAACAATTAACTTTTTGACTCTTGATACGGATCAAGTCTTTGGGGCCATGGATAATTGAAACATACTAGGTTAATAATTAGCACTTTTATAATGAAGTCAATAATTGGTATCTTGCCTCCTCATATTAATAATAATCAATCTTAATATACTGTTTTTTCAAACCAAAATTTGCTTTAAATCTCTATTTTAAAAAATTTGTTGAAGATACTCGTAATTAATTATATTATAAGACTTAATATTTATTTGAAATAGGATATTAATATAATTTTCAAAATAGAAAAACCATTAAAGTTAAATATAATTTTATTTCAAGATCTTGATTTTTATTTTTTATTTTAAAAATATGTTCAAAGATACTCTTGGAAACCCCTGTTTGAATGGCAAAATATATGTATTGCTTGATTTTTGAAATATGTTTCACATTTATTAAACAATTCTTAAAATTATCACAACATTTTATTAATTTCACATCAATATTCTATGGATTTTTCTTTATTTTATTACATTTCTAGAGTTATAAAAACAACTATAATCTCCCTTTTTTTTTTCTTTTAGCTATAAATTCAATAAAATGTTTAATATACACAAATATATTTAATTGTTTTATTTTGTTTATTTGAAAGAAATTGTAAATAGAAATATGTTTATCAATGTACAATAAAATAAATATATTAATGATAAATAAAATAGAATATTTAAAAAATATCGTAGAAATAGAGCAAATTAAAACAAGTTAAAATACAATAAAGCTCCAATTAAACCAATAAATTTGACTATTTACCAATTAAATTATCTTGAACTTTTTATATTGTTATTAATATTAAATTAACGAACATTTACATTTAAAAATTAAATAACTACATATCGGTCTATGGGGATGAGATCGTTACAGAAACCGGTTGGTACCGAAACCTTTTAAAACTGAAATCGAGGAAAACTGAAATGTATGTGCAAATTCAGTACTAGTTTGGTTTCATTTCAATACGGAAAATTCGGGATTGGTACCACTTAGGACCGAAATTTTAACGTGGATAAATGAATAATCAAAATCACAAACCAATCAGAAATGTTCAACAATCAAAAGATGAGAGGCCGATTTCTTGACGGTGTGATACTACCGATTTTCTGATGGTGATACCGTAGAGTTTTTGATCAAAGTAATGGTTATGAAGAAGGTATTAATTATTTTAGGAGAATATATAGATTAATTTAGGAAATATGATGGATTTGTTTAGAAGATAAAAGAGGAATTGGAAATTTGGAATAGCCAATTAACCATTGGATTACCCAGTTTGGTTCCAATATTTTCGGGAAATTCTCGGTACCAAATACCGACTTTGAAGTATTCTTAAAACCAAACACCGAACTGATTACATGTATTCGATTTTGGTTCGGTTAAAAAAAAACGATCATCTAATTTTCTCCCTACGAATCTATATAAAATAAAAAGTTGTAACCGAAAAAACCGGTTTGTGACCTTGAAATGGCCATGAAACAAAGTTTTAGGCGTTAGAATACAGCTTTTGGTTTTTACAAATAAAGTTACAAAAATACACAAACTTATATTACGAATGATATATTTAAAATCAATCATGAGGATTAGATAATAAAAGAAAATTAAAAATGACACAATCACCATCATTCACATGTGATGTAGGTGTGGAAGAAAGAGGAGCATTTGTGAAGGAAGGAATATTCGACCACAATGCTCGCCAGTCGCCAGGGACATCTCCTACCCGTAGGTACCATAATTCAGATACAAAATTTAATTAAAATAGTCAACTTTAGGAGTCGATTTTATTTCTTATCTATACTATATTATAAAACATTTGATAAAAACTTTTAAAAATCATTTTTTATGCATAAAGTACTGTAATTAATGCATATTACTTAAAATTCAAGATTACAAGTAAATTATGCATAAGTACAACTTATTAAAACTCCATGTTTGAATTCGTGTAACTAACTACGGATAAACATAACCAAATAGAAGATAAATATAACCAAATAGATGATAAACATCTCATTTTAAAAAATAAAAAATCTAAAGGATAATTATTGAGTTTTAGCAAAATAATTAATTATTATCTTTAAATAAAATTATATTATTAAACCAAATATAAATTACTTCGTTATTAAACCTAAATTAAATTATAATAAAAAATTGAATTAAAAAATTACACAAAAAATAAGAATTTTAAATAGTTAGTTTGATATTAATATCAATATATTTTTGTCAAATTTTTATAATATTTTCAAATTTATATGTTATTAAAAAATAAAAACATCATCGCTTTTTTAAAATCACACAAGACCATACTATAACATCGACTGAGATAAATAATAAAATGAAATATTAAAATCAAAATATATCTCGTTGCATTGCACGAGTACCCTTTTAGTATTTCAAAAATGTTACTATCTTTGCAAATAACAACTTCTCCACTGTTGAAAAAGTTAAAGTGTAAAAATATAAGAGGTTTTTGAATCAGGCCTGCAAGTGTAGGGACAAATATATAAATTGATACCAACACCTCGACAAGTGGCAAAATACCGACCTATATCTAATTTATAGATTTGGTCCCTGTACTAAGGGACCTGGTTCAGAAACCTCTTTTTGCATTTTGACCCTTCCGCAAATTGCGGAGCTGTCACTTGCAGAGATAGTAATATTTTTAAAATTTACTAAGAGAATGGTTAAGGGATGAACCCAAAGTTTGAAAATGATTATTTCTATTAGTTTTCCAAATTTTATTTGTTTTTTTTTTATTTTGTGTTAAGCGTTAGCGTTCAGACAGTTTGTGCGTACCTCAACTAATTTCAAGGAGGTCTGGAGAACAAACAGGAAAATCTTCAGTGACTTTGCAGAACTCGAGCTGATGACCTCTAAAAATAATCTTCAAAGATTAATTTATTTACTTTTAAATGGAAATAGTTATGTAATTGATGGATTTTAACTTTCTACAATAATTATGTCATCAATGATTTGATATTTTGATTTAGAGTTTATAAGAGTTTCGGGTTTTTTTGTTAAATAGTTATATGATTTAATAAATTGATCGGATTAAATATTTTAGTTTGCTTGTCGATTTGAATGTCCGACGAATATTTATGTATTTTGGACGGGTGGTTTTCCCTTTGGCAACTCTCATTTTCACACTTTATGTTCACACAAAAAAAAAATCAAAATCATTTTTATTTCAAATATAAATACTTTTATTTTAAACGATCTAAAATATACCTTATCTTTTTAATAGTATTTTAATTTTAATTTTTAATATATATATATATATATATATATATATATATGTCTACATCAATAATGAAGTTTGTAAAAACAATGAAGAATACGCAATCAAATTGAATCCAATGATACATGCGATTCACATCTAAATTTGTTACAACGGGTTAAAGTTGGTATTTTAGTTTAACTGATTTTTTCTATATGTTTAATTGTTCTAAAAAAATATTATATCTTATATGAAATCAATAGTTGTTTAATTTCTCATGCTAAATTGCAACTTATTAACAACTTTTTGTTAACTGTCAAGATATTTACATAACATTTTTGTTGTTTTTCATGCAATTGATTTGAACTTCAGTTAAGTTTGAGTTAATCATGACTTGATTTTCATGCGGAATGTGTTTTACTTCTTTTACCCATGTTATAAGCTTTATATTCATAAATTGTTGGTTATAAAGTAAGATGTCTTTATGTGAATGTTGTGTACCCGAATGGAACACATGAGTTCGTTTTATGTTCATATCAAGAACATGTGAGCCCAGTGGTTGGTCACAGGTATGTGTGACCATATGCGAGTTTAACCATTGTAACATGTGTTTGCATGTCTTCCAATTTAAGTGTGTATAATTGTTTTCTTTCAATTATGTTTTATAACATTGTTTTCAGCGTTAACTTTTTCTTTTGAAGTATATAATATTTATATACGGCAAATAGAACAAATAAACTCACATACCCTCCTCACATTTGGTAAGGTTTGAACTCCTAACCTCCTAGGTTGCCAAAGACTCACATACCGTTAAGCCAAATACCCTTTGGTAGCACTAACTCTTGTGATAGAGGGAATTCACTAAACCTCCGATCTAACAAAGATAAGGAAAAGGTGTGAGCTAGAGGTTTGAAGAGAGGCCATTATCTCCTAGTTAGATTGTCGTCTTGGGGATCCATGGATCCGATCCAACAGGGTAGACTTATGGGTCAAAATCTACCGTTGTGAAAAGTGAAATCTTATAGGACTACTCTTCAAAAAGAATTTTTGAAAATAATAAAGTTTCCAATGAAACAAAAAGATTCTAGTCTAGCGGATACGAAGACTCTAACGATCAGTATTACCAATAATCACCACAAGAACACTTCCCTTTCGTAAAGTGATGAAACCGATGCATATCTCTAACAAATATTTCTCGATCACAAACGAGCGATAACAATTTACACGCAGAATGACAATCCCCGCATGTCCTCACGTTCTTTGCAACCCGAATGGTTTCCCCAGGTGCGGTATTCAGAAGCCCAAAAGTGATTGCCAGTTTTTCGCTATGGTACCGGAGGCTAACTTCTTTTTGGTCATCGTTCATATCTGAATGAACCACTAAAGAAACATCGGGTTCATAACCGACCGATTTCAATTCCTCAAACAACTTATCGACCGCCAAATAAAGCTCTCGATGACCAATCCGAGTCCCATCGCCCGAAAAGAATCCGTGCACTTGATTCTTTACCTCTATCACGCTATAACCCGGCACCTTGACCACCCCGCGATCTTTCATCAGTTTTCTTGTGTATATGGCATCTTTTTGCTTTCCAGCTCTCGCACACATGTTGGCGAAAATGACATAATCACCCCCGTGAAATTGGTCGAGCTCGAAGATTCGTGCAAGTACCCTCCTCCCTAATTCAAGATTTCCATGGCTGCTACAAGCAGATAACAGGGTTCTCCAAAGTATAGGTGTGGGTTTAATCGGGATTTCATCTATGAAATTGTATGCATCTTCTAGCCATCCCGCTCGGCCCAACGCATCTAACACACACCCGTAATGCTTGATCCCAGGTGAAATCCCGTATTTGTCCTTCATACTGCAAAGATACGTCAAGCTTTCATGGACTAGTCCAGCATGATTGCAAGCATAGAGAAGACCCAAAAGCGTAATTTCATCGGGTTCGACTTTTGCTCCTCTCATATTTTCAAATAGAGATATGGCTTTGTGACCATGGCCATGAATGGCGTACGCCATGATCATCGCGGACCATGTTTGCGTATCTCTAAAACCCATGTTCTCAAACACCGAAACTGCATCATCTAAACTACCACATTTCGAGTACATATCAATGAGTGTCGTGTTGATTTTTACGTATTGGTCAAACCCGTTAGCCTTGATGTATTCGTGTACCCATTTTCCGGTGTCTAACGCTCCTAGTAATGCACAAGCTGAAAGAACACTGAGCATGGTGACATCAGTGGGCTTAAGGGTTCTACTTTGCATTTCAAGAAACATTAACAAGGCATCATTTGGGCGGCTATTTCGGACATAACCTGTTATGATTGCGTTATAAGTTACCGTGCATGGTTCTTCAATCCGATCAAACACAAACCAAGCTGAACCCATGTCGTCACACTCGGTGTACATGTTAATGAGAGCAGGATAAAGATAAGGACTTCGATTAAGACCATGTTTAATGGAAAGGGAATGCAATTGTTTACCTTCTTCTAAAGCTTTAGCAATGGCACAGGCCTTTAGAAGAGATGGGAAAGTGTAGTTATCTGGTACAAGACCTAAAGATACGACTCTCACGAACAGTATGATAGCTTGAAGTGGGGCGTAAGTACGGGAATAGCCACGGGCCATGAAGTTGAAGAGGATAATATCTGGGTGAGGAATTTGGTCGAACAGGTGGTGGGCATGGTCCATTGAGGAAGCAGTAGGATCCAGTGTGCATTGATTGATCACCTTGGTAATCCAAAACAGGTCGTTATGGAGGTGGGTCTTTATAGAATAAGCTTGAATCTGCTTTATTTCTTTCAAAGAGGTAGATTTGCGCAGTAGGGAAAGTGGGTTTGCTGTCCCTGTTATTGATTCTTTTGTGGTTCTGCCATTTGGGCAAGATAATCGAGTTAATTCTGGAGCTAGGATTGCCATTGAAGAACCTACATCAAGGAACTTCAATGGGTGAAAACATTAGGGCTTTAATCTTTAACGAACGTCGAGGGTGATGACCTGATATGGGATAGGTCATTCGTTGGCAATTGAGATCAAGTTTGTGTGGCGCCAACAGACCCGTCAACGTCTTTCAGCTGGATGGGAAGATCATCGCGTAATTGTATAATATATTACCATCGTTTGACAAAAACTTTTAAAAATTATTTTTTATATATGATATATTGTT